ACTCAGTCCACATACACAGGCTGTGACAAACACATCAGGACACAAAGTATTGCCATATTCTTGTTTCTCGTTCTTCAAATATCTTATTAGTTGCTATAGACCACAGGTACCATCTCATCTTATTGTAGAAGATCATGTGAAGCATATCTATCTTACATAACCATATTTAGGTACTCACTATCCAACCTCTATTTGTTTCCACCTTTCCCAGCCTCTATCAATTTCTATTATACTCATTGTCTTTTAAGACCAACCTTTCCAGCTCTCATATTTAAATGACCGCATGTAATATTTATCTGTCTATGTCTGGCTTCTTTCACTTAACACAATATCCTCCATTTCCAATGATTTTTGCTGACAGTTATGATGCTTTTAGAAAGATGGAGTCACTGTTTCAGGAGCCGGGGAAGTTCACCAACTATAACTCAAAAAAACAAGACAAAATATATCATATGCAAATATACAGATATATGGCATACATAGATATGACAGAAGGGGAATGTTTAGCTCAAGCTTGGAATATACTTGACTGAGTGACATAGAATGGTAGTGGTGCACGCCTTTAATCCCCGCACTCGGGAGGGGTGGGACCTCTGTGTTCAAGGCCAATCTGGTCTATAGAGCAAGTTCCGGGACAGCCAGGGCTACACAGAAATCCTGTCAAAAACAAACAAAAAAAAAAAAAAAGAAAGAAAGAAAGAAAGAAAGGAAAGAAAAGGATATAGATATATGAAAGATGAGTGTTAAATTCAAATAGGTCTCTCTGGATGTGAGAGCAACTGTCTCTGACGTCTGTCACTCCATTGATTGCCAGGGTCGATTCGGCTGATCTAGCTGGCTAGGTGGTTTCTTCTCTCATCTCTCCCTGTTCATCACAACCTTTCCTGAATAGAGGAGGGATGGTTTTCTGTCAAGGGTAGCCACACTCCCCTGCTAGAACCTCCAAACAAGCTCTCAAACAGGTCTTTCAGGTTTGAGTCCTCAGCTGAAGGGTCGAGACATCCAGCTCCTCACTGCTTTTACGTTGTTTTAAATCGACATTAAATTTCATGCCTTTGTTTCCTCTTACCCACCTTTATGGTTTCTTTCTATAACACAGACAACTCTAACTTTACATTTCCAGTAGTAGTGCAAAGTCTTTCAAAATAAACGTGCTGCCTGTAAAATAAATGTGTTTGAAGGTGGTGCATGGCTGTGTTAAAACTCAAGACCTGGGCACCAAATGACTGAGTGTCTGAAAGTGTCAGCCATTTGGTGAGTTCCATTTCAGCCAGGGCTACCCAGAGAAGCCAAAAACATCAACAAACAAAAGAAATTAATAAACATTTATTTCTCACACTTTGAGCAAATTGTTAAGTATGATGAAAGCTTACTTCCCGTTCGTAGCAGATGTCCAAACTGGGGCAGCAAGAAGCAGCCAGCTCTCCAGACACTTTGAAAGTCATTAATGCCATGCAAGAAATCTCTGCCCTTATGATTCAGCTCAACCTGTTACCTCCCAAAGAGTCACTTCCTACCCTGTTTCACTTCTAACTGTGTTAACTGAACCATGGAAAGGTGAAACATTAATACCATCTTTCTTTCATGTTGATTATGGTCAAGTTCAATTTTCGTTCTATTTAACAAAAGTTTAAGTTTAAATGACACCTGATTTAAAGAATAGCATCTAAAAACATATTACCTATAAATAATGTTCTTGTTTGATTTCTACAGTGCCTCACTCTGTAACTCAGGCTAGCCTTGGACTCACTATGTATCCCAGGCTAGCTTGGACTACCTGTGGACTCCTGAACTTCCTGCCTCTACCTCACAAGAAGTATCCCACTGCACCTGGCAAAAAGAAAGCTTATTTATCTTGAAAGGATTTCTGGTTTAAGTGGGTAGAGAGGACTGCAACAGGTCGACTTTGTAGCTACAAAGATTTTAACAGTCATGGGCTACTTCAGATGCCCCCTATAATATGGTATAGAACAGATTTCTTGGTGAAATGTCCTCATTCCACATTAGTACCAACAAGTAGGTGAATAAAGACAAATTTGCCTTCTTGAAACTGTGGTGTCCCTAGATTTCATATTTATACACTGAGAAATTATTTCTGCCACAACTGAAATGTTTCCCACAATGCCTGCCCAACACTGCATTGAGTGACCTTTTTTATTGGACTGGCCTGCATTTTATTAGTCTCCCTTTACAAATGGGGAAACTGAGGCTCAGGAAGCTGTGAACTTACTCAGGGTCTTCCACAGGCCGACTGCTCTGTGCTGTGTCTAAGTGCAGAGCCTGGCACTAAACAAATCCCCAGCCTAGCAAAGGTTTTCCTATAATGTTGCCAGCCATTCCCTAGGATGTTGTTGTCAGGCCCATCCCGGTGTTGAGTCAGCTGAAGTTCTGAGGTCTGCCCTCTAAGCTGGAAAAGAAAATATTTTTGCCCTCCCTGGTCAGAGTAGCAGAGTACCCACAGACTTCCCACTGGGCCCTGGGGCAGTTCACAGGGAGAAGGCACTCTGAAGGGTGACGCTCAGGCCCTGACTGGTTGGGTCACAGAACACAAATAGGCATTAGGGCCTGGAGAGGGTTTTTCCATCTCAGCATAGCCACTTTCTGATAGCAAAGAATGAACGGCCAATGACCACCCAACTCCTACTACTAAGAGTTGGGTTCATATCCTGAGATGGTCTATGCCACATAATACCAGATTTGAGGAGTGCCAGAGATGAGAAGGGCTCTAGGCTGTCTACTCCAATCCTTTCATTCTACAGGTGGCTCTAAAAGGGAGACAGACATGCCTGGCAGAGTCCCAACTAGAATCTAGGAGTCCTGGTTTTCTGGCTGATGCTGTGTGCTCACCAACGGCTGCCCACTAGGTTTCAGGATACCAAAAGTCAACATGGAGATCAAAGGCAGGTCACTGTGAGGAAGGGCACTGAGAAGAAGGTGAGCCCTTTCTAGTTAACAGGTGAATGAGTGAGCAGTTCCCCTGTCTTCTTCTGACCACCACACAGACCTGATCCTGAGCCACTGTGACTCAATACAAGAATCTGTCTACAAGCAGAGCTCTTACTGGAAGAGAAATGGCAAGCATGTGGGAAGTGGCTTAATCAGAACTTTTAAGAGGTTTATAATCATTGCAGTAATGATGCAGCAATGTGAAACATGTGAGCAACATGCAATCCGGAAGAAAACAATTATAAAAATTGAGACTTTCTGTGCACAGTTGGAATTGCAGTGACATAGGGGTGATGTTCCAAATGGCTTGTAGTTTCTGAGAATTTGCTTCCTTCTGAGACAGGTTGAGCACTGGGCCCTCCCTATACACAGGCTATCTCGTTCCATCTACAGTAATGCTAGGTACCATAGGAGATTTCCCCCAGGGATGCCTCACTGCAGAACTTACATGTCTATATGCATACATGTATGTTTGTGTGTATGTGTGAATTTAAAAAAATTTACATATGTTAAACAAGAACTCCACTACTGAGATATACCTCCAGATCCAAAAATTTTGATGGAGTAGGTAGGTAGAGAGAGAGAAAACCCATGCAGGCATACAGAGGTCATAGGTCAACATCAGAGTTCTTTATTGCTATTCACTTTGTTATTTTTTTAAGGTTGAGTCTTTTTGCTGTATTTGGAGCTTACTGGCTTTGTGCTAGACTGGATGTACAGTGAGCCCCCAGAATCATCTTGTCTCCATCTTCTAGCACTGGGCAAACTTCCATGATAGACAAACACTGCCACGTGTAGATTTTTTCCCTCTTTCATTTTATCTCCATTAAAGGCATTATAATGAATTCTTTTAATATTTTTACATGTGTAGATTTTTTTTACATATGTGTTGGGGATTCAAATTCGGGTTCTTCTACTACTTGCTTGAGGGAAGGGGCTGGGGGGGGCACAAGAATGCCATGGAGCAAGGGTGGAAGTCAGAAGACAACTTGTAGGAGTCAGTTCTCTCCTCCCACTATGTGGGTCCCAGGTATCAAACTCAGGTCTTCAGGTTTGGGTCTGAGCCATCTTGGCTGGCCCCTGACATCTTTACTTTTAACTGCTAAGTGAGTCAAATCTGTAGCATGAATTTGACTCTGGAGCATGAATTCGAATTTTATTTTTCATTACTGCTACTTATTTTTAAAATGAAAAATGTAACGAAATAAAAGCATGCAGTGAGTACTGAATAGTCTGGAATCAAACACAAAACTTTGTATTTCCCTTCAGCAAGGAAAAATAAGAGAGTAAAACTTCTTGCTGCCACATGGGGTTGCTAAAGGATGAAGGCTGGGCAAGGACCTGCCTTCCCAACCCAGACCAGGCTGTCAATCAGAAACTGCAGCAAACTGCAGCAAATACACATGACCACTGCTGCTTTCAGAACATTCCCCTAGCCTTTGAGCTAGGGACATTTCCTCTCTGACCTCACAACCACAGACACAAGTAATTCTGCTTACCATTACTCCTCTCCACCCCCAGACTAAACTTTAAACAACTGAGAGTCTTGGCCCTACCCTATCTTCTACTCACTCGAAGAAGGTAGCTTTAAGCTACCTTCCCTTTCATCTGTTTCTATGACACTTGCATAGACTTGTGATAAACTGCCACGAGGTGGGAGGGGTCATCTAAGCCAGTAGTATTCATAATGCTTCCTGGGGTAAATGGATTGCATCCCATTCCATGAGAAAGAGGGGCATGCTTTGGATAGAAAACCCAGCCCAAGCATACAAGTAAGATAACAGCTCCCTCCACTGGCACCAAGTCCTGTAAGATCCCCATGGCTGGTGCTGAAATATGCATTGAACTGTGAAGTATCCACCTCATTAATAGCTACAGCAGAACAGAACCTTATCCCCAAGTCGCTGACCACAGCAGGCCTGAGCTATTCTGCCAAGAGTCTCTGGCAGGCTGCCCAAAGTTCTGCCCATCTGAATGAGAGTTCTGTACTTTTTTTCCCACCTTTCAAGACAGGGTTTCCCTGGTCTACAAAGTGAGTCCAGGACAGCTACGACTGTCTTAAGATGTAATTTAATGAATGGTTCCTATTAGCAGATGGCCTCAGCCCTGATGCCCCCCTCCCAGGCCCCATGTTCATCGCCATCTCGAGGGGGTATAGACTGCCTCATCGTCATACACAGCACCTCATCAATATAGATGGTGTTCTCCTTAACCTGGATTTCCTCCTGCAGGGCCAGCTGCCTGCGGTACAATGCCTTCAGCTCTGTCTGAGCCTGAGCCAAGATTTCCTTTAACCTGGAAGAAGGAGAAGAACATGAGGAATCATCATTCACTCTGTATCACTTTTTCTAGGGATAGAGGATTATGCTTAAATATTCAGTCAAATTAACAGTGCTCTTCCCCTTACTTGCTTTCTCAAGGCAGGGCTTTCTGGCTAGTGGCTACAGTCAGGCTTCTGACACATATTTGCTAGATGTAATCCCAGCACTCAAGGGACGGGTTAGACTTAAAAGCCAGCCTGGGCTACATATAAAGTTTAAGGCTAGCCCAAACTACTTAGCAAGAACTGGTCTCAAAACAAGAGTTGCAGCATGTTGCTCAGTGGTAGAGTTCTTGCATAGTGAACCTAAGGCCCTGGGCTTTATTTTCAACACTAAAAAAGAAAAGCCAATATTTTAAAGGGCAGATATTATCTAAACATATGGATTTGGACTTCATAACAAAATGTCTTGATATTGAGATCTGCTTCACGAATGACAGCAGCTTTGTCCTGAGTTAGCAGGCCTGGCATCTAAGAAGGCACCCTTCCAATGTTACAGAGCCAGCAGTACCCTTTGCCTAGCTCCTCCCTACAATTTACAATGCAGGCTGAAGTCATGGCCCAGCAGGGCGTGGCCCACCTGGCAACATTATGGTTGATCTCCTGAATCTCCTTGATCAGCCGATACTGAGCGACATCACGACACAGTTCTACATTAGGCCGGTGTGTCCTGGTCTCCAGACGTGTGTGCGCCACTTTAGCGGGCCCTTCTTGGTCCAAGATAGCATTTTCAAGAGCCTCAATGTTTTTCTCCTGGGAAGCGATTTCTTTCATAATCTGATGGAAAGGATTGGAGTAGGTGAGGCTGCTGTGGTGTGTTCCTTGAAAATCAACAGCACATGACCCATGCGTATGAAGACCCAATTTTACATTTTGACATAGCAGAAGCCCAAACAGCCTGATCACCTGTCCCCCAAGCAGAGATGCTCCAGCAACTATGAAACCCAGACATGGAGTGGATCTGACTGGCTGCCAATCTGACACAGATGGGGTGGGTTCCCAGGAGAACACCCTCAGCAAAGGCTTGACCATTGAGTGTCTGAATGAGAAATGTCCCCCATAGACTAATGTATGGGAACATTTGTTCCCCAGGTGTTGGTGGTATTTGGGTAGTTATGGATCGTTTAGTAGATAGAGCCTGCTGGAGGAAGGCTTTGAAGGTTTATGATCTCATTCCACTTCCTGCTCTTTCACTCTTTCTACTTCCTGTGTAGATGAAAATGTGAATAGCTAGCCTCCTGATCCTGTCATCAAGCTAAAACTTCCCTGACAAGAGGGGCTCTATCCCTCTAACACTGCCAGCAAAAATAAATACTTTTCTTTCCTAAGTTGCTTTTGCCGGGGTGTTTAATCACAGCAACAGTAAAGTAGCTGATACAACCAACTATGCCCCACATTTTTGCTCAAGGCCTCCTGCCAACCTAGTTACAAAGTTACTTTCACATCAGGGACAGAAAGGTGCTATTTCCTTGCACATGTACATGTACATGTACACACACACACACACACACACACACACACACACACACACAAGCACCAGTTCCATGTCCTGGAATGCTAAGAAAAGAATGACAGTGTCACCTGAGCTTTGTAGTATACGTATATACATTCATGTATGCCTATGTGCATGTTTGTGTGTGAGCATGGAAGCCAAATGTGAATTCCGATTATTGTTTTTTGGGTGCTGGCCACCTTTTTTATTTCCAGCAGAGTCTCTCATTGTCCCAGAGCTCACAAGTAGGCCAGGCTGGCTGATCTGCAAGCTCCAGAGATCCACCTGTCTCTACCAGTGCTGGGATTACAAGCACATGCTCCCATATCTGGCTATTTTATTTTCTGGCCTTTTAGAATAAAAAAAGGGGAGAGAAGCTGGAGAGATGGCTCAGCAGTTAGAAGCACTGGCTGCTCTTCCAGAGGTCCTGAGTTCAATTCCCAGCACTCACATGGCACCACACCACCATCTACCGAAAGGGATCTGATGCCCTTTTCTGGCATGCAGGTGTGTATGCAGCAGAGCGCTCATACATAAAAGAAAACAAACAAACAAACATGAGTAATTGGTGATCAAATTCAGATTGAGACTGAGCCACAAGGAGAGGTCCAAGAAGCATCAGGAGAAGAGAACTGGAGTCAAGTGAAGATTAAAAAACCCAAGTATTGAGGGAGGGGACCATGGTCGGGTGTAAAGTGAGTGAGTGAGTGAGTAAGTGAACAAATGAATGATAAATGCAAGTATGATGGGGATTCTGGCTGGGAGAAAGCTGGACTGGTTTGGAGGTTCAGGATGGAGTAATCATTTCTCAGTATTGTGCTCAAGGCTAATTAAATAAATCAATCTCCAAGTGCCATTATTTGAGTGACTAGCTGGCTAAAGATAAGCTGCCACCATATTAATTTTATGTATTTATATCCATGTTAATAATCATATTACAGGTGCAAAGAGGATACAATTAAGCCCTTCAGCTCACTGCTACCAGATTGGAATGTGGGTTAGGGTTAAGGTTAAGTTCAAAACACAGCCCTATCCCACTAGACTCTACTTCATACCTCTGAACTCAGGATGTGGACTGTACAGGAAGGAAGGTGTGTGGGAGCTGCCTCCTGTGGGTTCTGATGGTTAAATTTTCAGTGACTCTGCCAGCTCTTTTTAAACAGGGAGTCTGAATCTGACCACAGTAGGAATATTTACACCATGGGAATCAGCAAGTTCTAAACCTCAGAGAATTTTTATTTTGGCAAAAAGCCATTTGCCAGTGTACTACTGCATAACTAGCAGGGACAGTTGACCAGGGACCAGAGCTAGATTTGGAGAAACTGGGTGCTTCGGCTCATATGAGTCCAGAGCCCTTCTCCTCATGTGACGTGAGGAGGCTCTAAGGCTGTGCACAGACCCCAGCCTCTGGGATCTGTCTTCCTGCAGACCTGTTTTCTGCAGCGTGTCAACAGAGATCTAGCATACATAGACATTTATGCTTCCATGTTAAGACCTCATGACTACAGTGTGTCCCTTGGGAATCTCACCTTAGCCAGATAATCAGCCAGCTTGTTCCTGGCATCCTTGGTCTCCTTCAGCCCATTTACAAATGCTGTGTCTACCACATCACGCTGTCGGCGCAGGTCATGGGCCGTCTGGGACAGGATTCGGTCCACTAGGGTTTTCAGCATCATAGAGTTGTTCCGCTGCTTGTCTGCCTTCTCCACATTGGCATTGGAGAAGTCCAGCCAGTCCTCCAGACTCACTGAGCTGAAATACATGTTTCTCACTCATTCACCCCAGCACATCAAGGACTAGAGTAGCCAGGGCAACTCCTGAGAATTACTGAAAACTAAGCTACCTCCACCCTACAAGTACATACGATGTGTTTCTTCCACTGGCCATAGCCAACACGAAGGAAATCTCTCATCTCTGACATGGGATGGCACCCTAAAGATGGCACCCTCACTTCATCCCCAGGAAACCTACTGAGCTACTTTTATGACCTCAACTTTACAGAGGTAAAAACAAGCTCAGAGAAACAAACAAACTTGATCAAAACCACACAGCTAGACAACGAGTATCAACATGGAATACAAACATAACAATAATTATAACCTAGCTCACTGAATGAGAGGAAGCCAGGAGTTGAACAGATGCCTAGTTTGGTGAGGAACTGTTAGTAACCTTGATAAATATGTTTTAAATGTTACTTGAAAGTTTATTTTATTTTCTGTGTATGAGTGTTTTGCTACATGCATGGCTGTGCACCATGTGTATGCCTGGCTCCCACAGAGCTAAGAAGAGGACATCAGATTCTCTGATGAATTATAGACAGTTGTGAGCCACCATTTAGGTTTTGGAAATTGAACCCATGTTGTCTACAAGAGCAGCAAAGTGCCCTTAACTACAGAGCCAGCTCTGTTTTTCTAAAAATGTTACACACACACAACACAGAATGATGTTATTTAATAAAAATCAGGCAAACAACCTTATTAGAAGTCAAGAGAGTGTGTACTTTGAGAGAGTAAAAACAAAATATTAGGCAGAAGGGAACTGAGGGAGGCTGAGGTAGAAGGATCTCAATTTCCAGGCCAACCTGGGTTACAATGATTTGTCTCAAAGAAAGGGGGGAGGGGAAGGAAGAGAGGACAGAGTTCCCTCCATGCCTGGGAACTACCTGAGGATTGACTAGAGGCAGGCCATGGCTAGTCCCCAGAGATCCCTGTCTCCTTTGCCTTGAGGATAAGAACAAATTTGCTAACTTTTTTCTCACAAGTCCAAAGATGAGATACCAGTTTTGAAACAGGGATATTAAAAAGCATCAGAGCAGGGCTGGAGAGATGGCCCAGTGGTTAAGAACACTGGCTGCTCTTCTAACAGGCCTGGGTTCAATTCCCAGCACCCATTTGGCAGCTCACAACTGTCTATAGCTCCAATTCCAGGGGGATCTGTCACCTTTGCAGATATACGTGCAGGTAAAACATCAATGCACATTAAAAAAAAGCATCATAGCTTTTCTTATATCTCCCTCTCCCTCCCACCTTTTTGCCTTTCTTTTTCTTCCATCACTCCAGATGGGAGGGAGAAGCCAGCTTGCATGTCATGAAACTGTCCTTGGAGAAGTTCACAAATCTGGGAACTGAGGCCTACATCACCACATGAGTCACCTTGGAAGCCAACTGCTCCAAGTAGAAGTCGAGCCTTCAAGGGGTGCAGCCCCAGCACCCAGCCTAACTTTACCCAAGGACACCTTGAGGCAGGCTGACAGCTAAGCAGTGCCTGGCCTCTCAACCCATCCAAGGTCTGAGATAATAAACATTTATTATTCTGAGAGGCTAAATTTGAAGTACTTTATCCTTCTATTTTTTATACATAAAAATATATTAATACTGGGGCTGGGGAGATGGCTCAGTAGTTAAGAGCATGAGCTGCTCTTCCAAAGGACCAGGGTTCAATTGCCAGCACCAACATGGCAGCTCATAACTGTCTATAACTCTAGTTCCAGGGGATCCAACACCATCTCACAGACATACATATAAGCAAAACACCAACACACATAAAATAAACATTTTTTAATTATTAAAAAGATACTAATACAATGATATCATTGAACTGTGTATTTAGTATTTGTTTATGTATTTATGTATGCATGTTTAATTTTAAAAATAAAAAATGAATGAATTAGCCCTATGATATAATACAAATTGAGAATGCAAGTTAAGGGTCCAGTGAGGTAGTTCAACAGGTAAAATTGCCTTCCACCAAGCCTATCTACTTGAGTGGGATCCCCAAAACCTACGGTAGAAGGAAAGAACCAACTCCCACAAGTTGCCCTCTGACCTCCACATGTGCATGAGTGTAACCACACATCAGTACACATTTATGAACAAATACCTTTTTAAAACTTAAAAACTACAAATTAGGGGCTGGAATGTTGGCTCAGGTGTTAAGAGCACTGGCTGCTCGCTCTTCCTGAGGTTTTAAGTTCAATTCCCAGCAACCATACGGTGCCTCACAAGCATATGTTTGCATGGACCAACAATGTGGGGAATTTCAAACTCACCAATTACTGTAGTTTTTACTGTCTTTCACTTGTTGAACTACAAACAGATGAAGGGATACACTGTAAATCATTGGACATATTGCGCCAGTCTTAAAGTGGGAGAAGGCTCTGGGCGGGGGGGGGGGGGGGGGGGGTGAGATACAAGGTAAAACACTCAGCAGACGCTTTGCCACAAGCCTCCTGGCTCCGAGGCCCTGTTAGATTGAGAGGACCTAGGGCATTTCCAGTTCAACCTATGTCAGAGGCAGAGGCAGCCCCCACTCACTTGGGCTCGATTCTCACAACATTCTCAGAGTACTTGATATTGGGTGAATTGTTGTTGAGTGAGAAGCAGATGTCGTCGATAGTTAGAGCCGTGAACTTATCCTTCAAATCCTTTTCCAAACTGTACTTGGCAGAGCGGTTGAGCCTGAAGGAAGAAGGTAAACAGCGTCTGATCACCCCTACAGGACCATGGGAGGCCCTGGAAGAGGAAGCTGAAACTAGGTCCTTTCAGCATGGCCTCCCCTTGAGCCCTGCTTCCATGTCCCCGGTGCACACATGTGCCATTTGATGCTTGGAGACCAAGCCTCAGCTGAAATCCTCTCTGCCAAACTGTACTGAGGTGAGGGGGCTGCGTGGTTGCAAAGGGATCCAGTGAGTCACCCTGGTGAGATGCCGCCACAACCCTTCTCCCCCCCCACCCCCCGACCCCGGCCCAGCCGCCACCACCAGGGCGGCACTTGTGGGCAAGGCAGAAACCCGGCCTCCTCACGCCAGTGTTCCACCAGGGGGCGCAGACGGACCGTTTCCCCCGGCTCAGGTGAGGGTCTGCAGTACCTGATCTGCTCCGTTGTCTCCTCCAGTGTGCGCCTAAGCAGGTCCATGACACCACGGATGATCTCGGCCTCCTTCACCAGCTCCTGATCCACCACATCGTGCACGAAATCGATGCCCATTCGTTTATCCCTGAAGCGGGGGGGGGGGGGGGGGGGGGGGGGGGGACACTACTTTCTGCATGTGCCTCTTCAAATTATCCCAAACGCATGCAGAAGCCTGGCCTGGAAACCCTTGTACATCCCCGCCCTTCAATTTGTTTGGCTGCTTGGCTGGCTGCCTGGTTGGTTGGTTGGTTTGTTGTTGTTGTTTTTCATTGCTATAATTTTATAAAGTTTTGTTAACAACATTGACACATACATATGACATACAGTCATGGAAACTACAAAAATGATGAATTACAGTTCAAGAAAAAGCACAATAACCTCAATAAAAATTGAAAACATCTTGATTTTTTAAATCAAACTTAAATTTATGTTTATGTAATTCAGATTTTATGCAGATTACTAAATATGTAGCATCTAAATGTGTCTCATTTATAATACGTGCAAAATATATTCTCGTTCTTGTTGGTTTTTGAGACAGTGTCCCCCTATGTATTCCAGGCTGGTCTCCAGTTCCTCAGCACCTGAATGCTGGGACTCCAGGCATGTCCCATTTGCTGCCTCTTCCTACTCAATTTGGCCATCTGCTCTGAAGCCTTCCCTTTTGTTCTTTTCTTTTTTTTTTTTAAAGATGTATTTATTTCTTATTTATACAATATTCTGCCTGCATGTGTGCCTACAGACCAGAAGATGGCACAAAATCTCATTATACATGGCTGTGAGCCACCATGTGGTTGATTGGGACTAGAACTCAGGACCTTTGGAAGAACAGCCAGTGCTCTTAACCTCTGAGCCATCTCTCCAGCCCTCCCTTTCACGCTTACTCATTGGAAACAACTGTCTTTTGACCTAGCATTTCAAAGACCAGTGTTTCTTTCTTTGGTCCTATTCCTGTTTTTTAAACAAGAAATTGAATTCAGACAAAAGTTCTGTTTTAGTATTAGTAACTAATAATGCCGATATTGATACTGCCCACGCTACCAAGCCCCACCATGTGGCGGGCACTGTGCTGTTTTTAACGTAAATAGTCCCTCTTAGCCCCCACCCTATGCAGGGGATGAGCCCTGGAGCATGCTAACCAACTGTTCCACTACTGAACACCACACCCTAACCCTTCCACTCAACCCTTTCATAGAGAAATTTTAATGCAGAGCTTTGCTACTCTGGCAAGAGATCACATCCAAAGACCTAAATCTGTGTAATCCAGCTGGGATATGAATACACCTTTAATCCAGGAGACAGAGGCAAGCAGATCTGAATTCAAGGCCAGCCTGATATAGAGCTTAAGTCCAGGAGTGGTGGTACATGCTTTTAATCCCAAACAATGAGGAAAAAGTCAGTTTGAAGAAGGAAATACCCATGCTTGAAAGTGATGTCTAAGCAGAAAAGGTGACAAATCAGAGAAAGATCTGACAGAGTAGGATACACCCAACTCTCCTGAGAACAGAATAAAGGGAAGCTACTTAAGGGAGCAACACAGAGAATGAGGAGAGAGGAGGCAGTTTTACCCAGAGAGTTTTACAGAGAGAGGTAGAATTTGAGAACAAGCTAAACACAGGAGAAGACAGAATGAGCCAGAGAATGAGAAGGAGCCAGAAGATTAGAAAAGATTGCTGGGGTTAGTTTGAAGCCAAGCAGAGCAACTCAGAGGCTGAGAGAAAAGCCAGATTGAATAAGTTAGCTGGGAGAGGAGTTTGAGCCAGAACAGCTGAGTTGAGCCAGCCAGCTATGAGCTCGGAAAGAACAAGAAGTAAGTCTCAGAGGCTGAAAACATTACAGGCCTAAGTTAGATTGTACAAACGCTAGAAGCTTCCAGGACTAGGTCTTGGTTAGCTGACAGAGGCAGCAAATTTCTGAGACAACAATTGAATCAGGTGAATAAATGATCCTTTTTACACCCTTTAACATACATATGGGACAACCAAGTCTCAAAGAACTGATGTAACTCACCCAGTCACATGCTGAGGTTACATGTGCTTCTAACCACCACACTATACTACTCCCCAAAACTAACCCACTGACAGAGACACTGTTATTTCTATCCTGCTTTGAAGTACTGAGGTGGGAGATCCCCTAGCCACTTGCTGTGGGGCCTGAGGTGTGTCTTGATATCCCCTTCTGTAAAGGGGGATAACTATTAGTACTTAATAGGGTGTACCAAGGAACAGACAAGATAGAAAACAGTGTTCCTAAGCCGGCCTTGGTGGTACACGCCTGTAATCCCAGCACTCAGGGAGGCAGAGGCAGGCTGATCTTTTTCAGTCTGGTCTACAAAGGGAGTTCAGGACAGTCAACGCTATACACAGAAACCCTGTCTCAAAAAACAAAAAGAATGAAATAAAGGAAGGAAGAAAGGAAGGGAGAGAGGGAAGGAGGGAGGGAGGGAAGGAGGGAGGGAGGGAGGGAGGAAGGAAGGAAGGAAGGAAGGAAGGAAGGAAGGAAGGAAGGAAGGAGTGTTCCTGCCTTCAGTGCATAGTGCATGCTCAGTAATTTGGCACCCTCAGGCTTAGGAGCACACTCAAGGCGTGGGGACCTGTCACTGCCCTTGCCTTCAAGAGCTCTCTGAATCTCTCTGGGGATTACTGCTTGCTTGCTGTCCAGGATCAGGGCCAAGGTCATGGGGGAACTGGGCTTTCGCCTTAGAAACAGTACCATGTATTTGGGACCTGCAGAGGGCTCAGCACTTCTAAGTTCCTCCCTGTAATGGAGATGAGATAAGGAGAATTCACTGGAGCTCAGTCATGACAACTCTGCTAAGCTAAGGATGTTGAAGCTTTTGGGACACACTGCTGTAATTACAAGGTTTGAAGCTGGGAGTGACCTGCAACACTCAAGATTTGGATATGTTCACTCAAAACCAGTGTGGAGCTGGGAACACGGTTCAGTAGAATGCTTGCCTAGCACTCATGAAGCCCTGGGTTTGAACCTTTAGAGTTTAACTAGACATGTGGAAGGCGTGGGCAAGAAGATCAAAAGTGCAAAGTCATCCTCAGCTAGTGAATGTGAGGCCAGCCTGGGCTATGCAAGCCTCTGTCTCAAAACATTAAAGGTAAGGCCAGGCGGTGGTGGTACACACCTTTAATCTCAGTACTGTGGAGACAGAGACAGGTGGATCTCTGAGTTTGAGGCCAGCCTGGTCTACAGAGTAAGAGCCAGGACTAAACAGAGAAACCCTGTCTTGAAAAAATAAAAAATAAAAAAATGAAAAGTCAGTATTTTCAAATCTAGAATGCTGGATTAGAAAGGGCTCTGCTGGAGCAAAACCACCTATAAGAGACAGGTATGGAGGAACAGCACTGAGGAGGGTGAGGTGGGAAGATGTGGCATTCTAGACTTACATCAGTTCATCATGACTCTCCAACTAGACTAGGAAACAGGTCTAGGACTTGGCATCACCTAAGCAGAGAAGAGAATAATCCTATCCCTGGATTTATAGATCATCAGAAGTGTGTCCATCTATTCTCTAGACATTAGGGTGCTCTGTGTGTCAGCACCTGACTGCACCAACTAAAGACAGCCATTTCCCAGGTTCTACTTGGGAAACCCAAGAAACCCACGAAGAGCCTGGAACCCTAATACTACAGCACACCATGCCAATAAACACTGAACATTTATAGATTACTTAAAAGTGATGGGAAAGGTGGCTAGAGAGATGGCTCAGCAGCTAAGAGCACTGGCTGCTTTTCCAGAGAACCTGGGTTCAATTCACAGCACCTGCTTGATGGTTAAAAATGTCTGTAACTCCAGTTCCAAGGGGATCTAGCACCCTCTTCTGGACTCCTCTGGCACTGCCACACCTGGCACATAGACACCCATGCAAGCAAAACACATACACATTAAAAAAATAAATAAATCTCAAAACATTCTTAAGTGACTGAAAAAAAAAAAAAACTACTTTAAGATTAATTTGATTTTGTAATTCTTTGACACTCACAGAAAACTAAGCCCTAACTTTCAGTTAGAGGAGAGCAGAGTTTAGGTATGAGGCAAATGCAGTATTCCTTCCACTGACACCATGACCAAGACAGGTCTCATCTCAGCTCCAACAGAACACCTACTGATTTGCCTGCGCAACACATCATTCAGCACAGTCAGCTTTTGCTAGCAGCACAGAGTCTCCTCCAGCAGGTGACTCACCTGTAGGCCAGGCACCTCTCCGTGATGTGTAGGGGCTCCTTAAAGCTCTCCAAGGATTTCTCCAGGCGAATCTTGTATGTGAGCAGATCGTCTGTCTCATGCATAAGTTGTTCAAGTTTGTCATCTAATTCCTTCTTCCAGAACTTGACTTCCTCAAGTCTCTGCTCTGAAGACACAGAGAAGTCACACCTGGGTTTATCTGCTCCTGAAGGAGCTGACTGTGGGGTGTGTGTGTGTGTGTGTGTGCAATAAACAAATGCTTATTAGCAAAATGGGAGATATTTCTTCTTACATTCTAAACTCAAATTCTTTAACTGCCTTCTATTTTTAAATAACGTATCTATCTATCTATCTATCTATCTATCTATCTATCTATCTATCTAT